ACTAATTATCTAAATTCTCCAAATAAATTCATTACTTATTTTCTACCCATAAAAATCATGTATGCATGCTCAAAAATATCAAATAAAATATAAAACATAAATAGTAATTTAAATATAAAACATAAATAGTAATTTTTTGAAACAAAACCAAATAAATTCATTACTTATTTTCTACCCATAAAAATCATGTATGCATGCTCAAAAATATCAAATAAAATATAAAACATAAATAGTAATTTTTTTGAAACAAAATAATACTAATTCCCGAACTGGTGGTACTGTTCATAGGCCAGTGAACTACTATTTCAGACACTGAAAAACAGGGGAATGACCTCTCCTTCCCGTCAAATTCATTAGTGCTACTTGGGAGAATTCTACATGCTCTACTTTCTCTTATTAATTTTTTGATATCCTTCATACATGTGGGTGTGATAATTGGCCCCCAACCAGGAGCTTTAGAAAATCTTTTGTGCAACCTAACCATGCATTTTTTCGTCAAGCACTCTAATATGGTAACTATGGGCATTTGATCTTAATTTTCCTACCCAACTATTAAAGGACTCTATTATATTATTAGACACATGCTCACTCTTAAATGAAGGGTGGAATTGATGCCTAGAGCATTGTTGCGTTGGGATTTGTGATAGCCATGCATGGGGCTTACCATTTAATTTGCTCCCAATCACTTTCATGTGCAACTTGAACTCATTTTCATATGTTGCTTTAGCAACAACCCAAAACTCCTTTAATGCTAAATTAGGAAATTGTTTCTTAAAATTTATTTCAATGTGCCTACAACAAAATTGATTATGTGCATTTGGAAACCATGTTCAGCATCTAGCAAACCCTGAATAATTAATTAATAGCATGTTAGTGGCAGAAAAGTCATAAGCATGCTCACATAATGATAAAGATTAAAGATATAAAGTAAAAGTAAAAAAGATAAAGTAATAATACTTTCTACCTATCTGACATAAAAGTCCAAGGCATGATTGGTCCGCTCATTAGGTCATAAAGTAATAATAACTTATGTCTACCTTCTTATTAAGATCATTCCTGATTAGGTCATAACTCATTGATGGGTCTGCTGCAAGTTGTTCTTGTAATTTCTTCTTTAACCGTTTGGTTGCATTTGGGTTCTTATTCCCAATAGGCCTAACACAGTTGTGCTCATCTTGCAAAGTCTTGACCATAAAAGCCAGTTTATCAGTTAAAGCTGAAGCATGCATCCTTCAATGGCATTCTGTTTCCCTACATGAAATAGTCACTCTCTTTGAATCATTTTTATGCCATTTTATGATATAACTCCCCCCCCCCTTCATAACATAATCCCTTATAGTTTTCCTTAGGACATCAAACCCAAGAAATACTTGCCTAACATGAAAAGAAATCTCAATAGTTGTCTCAGAAATCACAAACTCATCATCATATAACCCTTTAAATGGATCTGCTTTTCCATTTTCAGAGTAATCCAATTCTTTTTCATCAGCACCCGAATCTACACCATTCCACTCATCAGTTGAATCATCTTCTATTCCAAATGAAGAAAAAACCCTCGAAGCATTAATTCCAACCTCAGAAATTATGAAGTCACCAAGGTCTCCCATCTGGATATCATTATCTTCATCATTAGAGAACTAATAGTAATGCTCATCACTACTATTTATGTCATCTTCTGCTTCCACTGGTGAATTGCATTCTCTATTATTGGCTTTCCTCTTCCTCAATTTATATCTTTGCTCCCTCTTTTCACTTCTAACAATTGGTCTCTTTCTCTATCATGTTCTCTGCATTGCCCTACTCCACTTTGATGACTATGACTACCCTCCCTAATAGATATTCCAACACCCTATTTGCTCCCATACTATTCCTTCTCCTATGACCCCTACCCCTTCCCCTACTACTGCTTCTCCCACGACTCCTGCCCCTTCCCCTACTATTGCTTCTACCACAAACACTACTTTGTACTCTTTGACTGGGTCCAGCACTCACTCCACCTGAAATTTTTGCATCTCCTACAATATCATCCCAAATACGAGCTCCACTCACATAATAGGAAGTACTAGAAGCATTGGCCCCTGCTCCTGAGTTTGCTTCCCTAACTTTATTTTCCATGTTTCCAGTCCCACCATTCCCAACATCACCTCCTACATTCACAAGCTCATCCACATGACATTGACATTCTCATTCTCCTTTACATCCACATTCACATTATCATTCTCAACACCAACATTATTTTCTGCAACTTGACTAGGCACATGATCTTCAACAACAATAGGGACTTCAACATTATGATTTTGAACTTCGACCAAGATAGGATCATCTTCAACATTTTGAGACTCATTTTCACCTTGAACAACAACAGAAACTTTAGCATTCTCAGCCTCGTTCTTAACTTCAACAATAATAGGAACTAGAGGATCAACATGAACTTCAACAGTAATAGGGTCAACATTTAATGCCTGCACGACTATATCTACCTCACCCATTTCCTTATACATGGTAAACACATTTAATAAGTCTGCATCATTCTCCAATTTAAAATATCCTTCTGCATATGTTATTTCTATGAATGTTGCATCTATTGAAAATAATTCATACACATTATCTACCAAATCCAGGTATGAATACCTTTCAAGATCTACATTGCCTATTGTATTAACAACGGCTTCAAATGTCATGAATATATGAAAGTAATCAGGTTCTGCCGTCCTAATATTAACTATACATTATTATCATCAAACATGAATGAAAAACAGAGCAACTTCAGTTCACACTATTAAAAACCCTAACTTTCATATCCTTTAACTCATATATAATTGAAAATGATAAAATGAAGCAATTTTAAAGTTAACAACACTAATACCATAAACTTCTTTCAATAAATTTCACTTCATGCAAAAAGGTTCAGTTTCGATACAGTACCTTTTTTCGTCTTCTTCACTCCTCGATTTCTATTTCTGGAACTAGTAACACCAAGCAACACCAAAACCAACTCAAAGCAAAGTGAAAATTCCTTCAATGGGCTCCATCGATCTCAAACTAAAAAAGGTTTTATTTTTGCTACTGGGTTTCATTTCGAGAGAATAAAGAGAAAGAGACAAGTTGTTTGGTCCTTTCCCTCCAACATTAACGAGGGTGTTTCGTATGACCATGAGGTTATTCATGTTATTTTGCCTATATTTAACGGGTTTTGGGAAGGAATTTGGACAAAAGGATGGTCTTGCTTGGCGAAAGAAAAATATATGGGTATTTTAATATATTTCTAAAAATACGAGGACTGAATAGTTGTCTTTCGCAAAACATAGGGATCGTATCGTATTTTTGCCTTATGTAATAGCATGTACGTTGCATGAACATATATTTTGTTTTAATAAATTTACTTAAATATATATTACATATAATTATTTCATAAAAATATAATTGTGATTTTAATAAAATAAAAAATGCAATTATTTTGCAAAAATTATTAATTTTAAATGAAATACAATCAATAATACTATAAAAATTTTATTTAACATGTAAATCAAAATAAAATAGCTGTCCATATTTTTTTCTCCATCTAACCATGATAGATTTTTAGTTCAGATATAAGATCATAAATCATATTTCAATTTCATCAATGGGATATAAATAGAATTATTTTTTTCCCATTTTATAGAGATAATTTTGGCTAAACACATAACTTCTTTTCTGCACTTTACGTAAATAAAAATATTATGACACCCTCAACTTTATTTTGAATTGTTGAACACTTTAATTTATAAAATTACCCCTATTAAACACTTCAACTTGCAAAATTTTTCTGTTGAATATTCCAACTTGTAAAATTAGATTAATTGAATACTTATTTGATAACTAGAAAAAAAATAAAACTATTATTCCAAATATTGTAGTAACCAGACATCAAATTAATACTTTATATATATAAGTTAAAAACATAAAAAAAAAAAAATATTATTGCTAGTGTCAAGAAGCGTATATTGTTATTAAAATTCAAAACTTTAGAGACAAGTAGGTTGTTTATAAAGTCTGAAGTACCATAAAAATAAAACCAAGTTCAATGAAAATAGATGCAGTAGGCCAATTAATATATTTGAAGTACTTATCTTCATCACATTTAACAAGCATGTTGGGACATATCTAACTGTTCAACTAATTTCATATATTTCATTACATTTAATAGTTGTGATAAATCATATATCCACTTATCAATTTTCATTTGATTTCATCGTATTAAACGGCTAAATGCATAAATTTATCTTTATACTTTATAGAAAAAATTTTAAGGCATCCTCAATTTTAAAATTGACCCAAACACTTCCAACTTATAAAATTGCACCTAGCGGACACTGCAACTTCCATCTTTTAAATTTAAATTAACTAAAAACTTATTTAATAGTTAAAAAATATGAAAATTATTGTTATAAAAATCATGGTAACCATGCATCGAATTATTATTTTTTCACGTAAAAGCCCAAAATATCAAAAAAATATTATTATTAGTATGAAAAGGCGTGCAATGTTACCAAAGTTCATAAACAATGAAGGAAGGAATAAAATGTCTGATGAGATAAAAAAAATTAAGGATGTGATCATGTATTTTGGAAAAAGCGGGGAGTAATTATTATATTTGATCAATATATAGGGACGTAATAATAATTCTCCCATGAAATTTTTGAATCTTTTTTTTTTCTTCTTAATTTTAATGATTCCCTATAAATATATTAATATCCATATTATTAAGATTATAAAATATAAAAGGGAAACTTATTATTTAGTCCCTCAGATTTTACATAATTATCTAACTCATCCCCGACGTTTAAGCTAATATATAACTAGTCCCCGACATTTAACTCCGTCTAATTACCTCAGATTTTTAACATAAATAGTCCCTCAGATTTTACATAATTATCTAACTCATCCCCGACGTTTAAGCTAATATATAACTAGTCCCCGACATTTAACTCCGTCTAATTAGAAGATCCTTCCGTCTAAAATGCGTTAAAAACGAAGACAAACATTTTATAAGGACGAAGTATACCCTTACTGAATTGTGCATGAAAATAAAGGAGGTTTGACCAAATTTCATTCTCACAAAACGCAGAGAAAGGAAAAAAGGGAAAAAACATTAGCTCCTCTCCATTTCATTTGCAGGTAACAAGAGACAGCCTACATGTCTTCTTCAAGCGCAGCCGATGGAGGATGGGAAAGTTACTTGACCACACTATTATTTCCTTTGAACAGGGAAAATTTCTTCTTCTCCTGATTATCTGTCCTTAATATACTCTCAAGTTGATTTTGAAGATCTGATCTTCTTTGGTAATTAGAAACCAAAATCTGTTCCAAATTCTCCTTCATAGCAACTAGCTCTGCTTTCTCATCTCTGCTGCTGCTATCTCAGAATTACTCAAATGTCCATTATTACCTTGCAGTTTTATGAATGTTGAGTTCAGCTAAAAAGAAACATCAAAATTTGCCTAATATCAATCTATCTGCAACAACATTTTTAATCTTTGAACACCATTAAAGGTTCAAATAAACCTTACCTCATTCACTATATTCTTCAAATCATTCACTTTCATTTTAGATTCCGTAACAAATTTCTCTAGATCTTCTCTAAATTTCTTCATTTCATTACGTTTTAACTCATAAAACTTCTCTTTCTCCTTCTCCGTCTGCTCTAGCTCCTCTATTTCACTTTTCAAAACCCTAACAATCCAAATCCATAATCAAAACTCAAATCTAGTTCAGTTCTTCTTTGAAAACATTCACATTACCTCAATTGATGCAAATCGGTGTTGTATCTGGCATCGAGGCTCTCGATTTCAGATTTTAGAGCCAAGATTTTGAAGTTTTGAAATGCAATTTCACGATCCATCAACAAACACCGTTGCTCCATTGACCGAATTTCTGCTTGTTTCGATGCTAAAATCTGCAAATTGTTCTCTTGCAATTCTTTCTCTGCCTGCAAATCTTATTAATTTCAACTTTTTTCTTCTCTCGGCAAAAAAAAAAAAAAAAACACCTCAAAATCTTATTTTAATTTCAAACTTAGTTTTCTTCTCTCCGGCAAAAAAAATAAGAAAAATAACAGAGGGGGGCATGATTAGGGATTTAAATTCAAGATAACCTGAAAAAAAAAAAAAAAAAAACAGAGGGGGCATGATTAGGATTTAAATTCAGAACCTGAAGGAGAGACAGACGCTGATTTCTGGTATGTTCCATGTGCTCTAGCCTCTCTCGAAACGCAGTCTGACCTTCCGTTTTTTGCGTGAGCGAGTTGGGAGAATAGCTGTCTAACCTTTCGTTTCCTCGAAAGGTCATACTGATCCACGTCAGCGAGGTCATACTGATCCACCTCAGTGAGAGAGGGGTGTTTTCATATTTTAGTCTTCAATTAACGGCAAAAAATCAATTTTTCGGACGGAAGGATTTTTTAATTAGACAGAGTTAAATATCGGGGACTAGTTATATATTAGCTTAAACATCAGGGATGAGTTAGATAATTATATAAAACCCGAAGGACTAAATAATAATTTTTCCAATATAAAAACATGTAAATTAATTTGGGAAAGGATGGAAGTAATCACATGTAAATTTTTCTCAATTTAAAGCATGGTTTTGAAAAACGGACCAGACCGATCAGTTTAACCGGAAATTGGAGTATGGTCCAATTCGGGTTGAATAGTTAAAACAGAGAGATAAAGAACCACTGAAAATCAGTGAAAATCAGGCAAGAACCGGCTTGAGCAATTGTTACGGTTCGAATGAAATAAAACAAAAAAAGAAAAAATCAAAAGAGAGATAAGATTCGAGCGTGCGGTTTGATTCAGAAGCATACAGTAGCCGGACCACTTTAGCCTAAAGCGGCTGGCCGAGCTGCTTTGCTTGGTGTTGATGGTGAGACTCACCGCCCGGCAGTTTGGTCTCAATCCACGATCGAAAATTTTTAAAGGAATAGGATTTTTTTTAGAAATTTTTTCTCTCCTGAGTTTTCTTTTGCCTCTTTCTTCAATTTTAAGAGATAACGTGCAAGAAATAATTAATTATTATATTGATATACTAGTAGCCAATAAATGAATTTTCTTTTTTTCTAATAATTGAACTTCCTTGTTTGTGTTGTTATTTTATTATTAGATTCTTAAAAATAGATCAATTTTTTAAATTGTTTTCTTATTATTATGATTAGTTAAACTTTTATTAAGTTGAATTTGGTTGATGTCAATTTTATAAGTTTTAGCAAAGTTATACTTCAAAAAAGTATGCTACCAATAATTATCTAATTTTAATTGCTCAAATTAAAATAAAATTTCATAATATTCCTATTTGGGATTAGAGCAAGAGTGGAAGAAAATGACAATGTTGGTTCTCTCCCATATAAGAGTTTTAGGGTTTTCACTTTATAATATGCAGCTAGGGTTTCTCAATTTTGAGTTTTAGTTCCATCTTTCATGGGTTTGTTTGCCATTAATTCCTTTCTGTCTCTCGTGTTCCATACTTTATGTTTTTTCTTTCCTTCAATTCATCTTTTCCATATCTTATTTTATTTGATCTTTATTTGGGTTTTCTTCATTTTCTTTCTTAAATTTCTTTTCTTTGATTCATGAATATTTTCTCTGCTGGCTTTAGGGTTTTATATCTAATACATAAAGACAACTGTGTCAATTAATGATGAAGATGCAGCAATTGAGATTAATTTTATAGATGATACTGAATTACACAAGGAAAGCCTATGATATAATAAATTTGCTTTGATGGACATGATGACTTGAGTATGGAACTGGAGCAAATTATGGGGAACTAGAGCTATTGAAGGAGAAGTTATTCAATAGTTCTTTTAAATTTAAATTAACTAAAAAATTATTCAATAGTTAAAAACATGAAAATTATTATTATAAAAATCATAGTAACCATGCATCAAATTATTATTTTGCATGTAAAAGCTTAAAATATCAAAAAAATAGTTATTAATATGGAAAAGTATGCAATATTACCAAAATTCATCGCTTTAAAAATATAATAAGTTTCTCGTAAACTTGAGGGTACTACAGAGACTTTTATGTAAATTACGTCGGTGAATTTAAACATTTTGCCAATTTTAAATCAAATAGAAGTCATGGTGTTTATTCCTCCTTCTAATGCATTTTTTAAGACTTTTAAGAAAAAATCCTATACAATCATTCCACAATTTCTATCCAACAAATCATTCACTTTTATTTAACAAAATCCATACTTTTATGTAACAAAAATTGCACTTTTATTCATTAAAATTTTATACTTACATTTAATAGAAATTGTAGTTCGTTAATATTCAAGTACATATATGCAATCCAACGTAATTTTTTTTATTGGCCTTCCTTTCACCGTCACTTAAGTTTGTTCATTTTCATATTTTTCAAAAATCAATTTAAAATTTACTTAATTTGAAAGGCATGCAATCTTTGTCCAACTTGGATTATTTATTTGCTCAAAGCTCAATTAATTCATCATTAATCCAAATTAATATAATTTTTTAAAAAAACCCAAATTAATATAATTTAATAAATACCATTTAACCTTATGCACAGATTTTATGAAAGAATATAAAATTCATCGATTATTCTCATCAATTAATTTCACAAGCAAAGAATATTATAAAAATTTATTACTTCCTCCGGTCCAAATAAATGTTGTTTTTTACTTTTTTTTTTCCAAAATAAGTGCCGATTTTGTAATTTCAAGACTATTAATTTTTTTTTTTTTTGTAATCTATCCGTTTTTATTTATTATTCTTATTCATAATATAATTATCCCTCAATTAGTCCCTACAATTTAATTAGAAGGCAAAATAAGTATTTTGTAAATTACTTTTTAAAAATTTAAGTTTTTTTTTTTAAAAAAAAAGAATGAAATCTTAAAATAATAATCCAACAAATAATTTAGGACACTATCCTATATTTGAAACCTAGTATAATAGTAGGAGGCTCTAGTAAAAGTATGAACACTTGCATTTACTTTGCCTTCGGATCCACTTGACCGAAATATATGTTCTAGAGCTTAAAATAAATTTTAAAATCCAAAATAAAAAGTTCAAAACTCAGAATTGTGAACGACGAAGACATCAAAGCATAAAAAAGTAACTGGAAATGGGTATAAAATTTAAGCTATTATTACATTCTTTAATTCATATGCCGACACTTATCTTATTTTGAAACGGAGAGTACTTCTTTGCTGGCTTATTACATAAAAATGATTGGGCCCACAGTGTTCTAAGAAAAAGGAAGTCCAGCCCAAGCGATTGCTAATGAAAAACTATAAGAGGCCCAAACGTGTCAGTTACGAGTCACCACCTTCCACAGCATTCAACATCAGACTTTTTTCATTGACGAATCATTCAATTTTGGAGCTTTCACTCTGCTGCTTCTTTCCATTCTGTGCCTCTTCATTGGTTGGCAATGCGTCTCTGCTCCGTAGGTACATACATAACTTGCTTTACCAATTGACAAAAATTAAGCTTAATTTCGAACTTCATTGGCACTCTTTATCTGCTACTTGATTCGTTTACCCTTTGTTTATTACTCCATTGAAAGGCAGGTTGATTTTGCTTTGTCTCGTCTTGTTCTTTATAGCTCTTTGTGTAATTCTTGTCGTTATTGAATTATATTGCCCTTTTTTTTTTCTTTGTTTCATGAAGTTTGCTATGCCGTGAATTGTATTTTATTTTTAGGTTAAAAGGGGTCCAAGAATTGGGCATATTGTTTATTTATTTTTTCCGGATTTTTTTTTCTTTTTGCAAAATCAAACAGTTTATTTGTTTGTAAATTTTTATAATAACCTCAAGATTCAGTGGTTCACTCCCATTTTTCTTTAAGATTTCACCTCCTTGTTTCCCTATCAGATGGAACCCATGATCAGATTCGGTCCAGATATCAGAAATGAGAACGCTGAAGGTAATGTCTTGGAAGTGGAAGATTTTAGCCAGTGCATTGATGAGTTATCCTCAAAAGTTAATGAGGTGAGTTTTACATGTGAATTGCTAGATGAGACTATGGTTATTTTCTGTAATTAATTACAAAATTTTCAATTTCAGCTTCTTCTTTCCTCAAAATATCGGGATGGTTTCCCAAATGTATAGTAGAAGAATTGTTGTTTTTGAATTGGCCGAATACATCATTTAATCCCTAAACTTAAAAAAAATAAAAAAATAAAAAAAAAACCCTGTGGCACCCTGAACCATAGAATCGACCTTGTTGCACCATGAACTTCATTTTTTGTAATAATTTCACATCTTTTTATACTAAAAACAGTAAATTTTAAGGGTTTTTGACTTTTATATGCAAAATATTGATTTGATATGTGGTTAATATAACTTTTAGAACAATCATTTTATATTTTCTAATTTTTCAATAGGTGTTTAATCGATTTAATTTTATAAGTTGGGGTGCTCAATAGGTCAAATAAAATATTTAATAGGTACAATTTTATAAGTTTAGGTATTCAATGGGTCAAAACAAAAGTTGAGGGTGCCACAAGGTTTTTTGTGAAAAGTTCTACGGTGAATTTATGTATTCAGCCTTTTTGAATTTATATAGTCTTTCTTATTTGCTGCTTACAAGGGCAGGTAGATTTGTCGAATTTGTTTCACAAAGAATGGTAATTGATTCTATAATTCTGGTCCTGATTTTGAATACTATGAATTATGTCCACGTGTTGTCTCCATGTTTCCTTCCCCATGCAGGTAATGATGTATGGTGACTTGCTTGTCCAATTTCTTCTGAAGTACTTCTATTTTTCTTGCAGCTTGAGCAAGGAGTCAATGTAGTTGAACAATTCTATAACAAGCAACCAAACAGTGCTAAATGTAGATCCCTTGTGAAGGATAAAGTGAGGGAAAAATATTTGGCTAACATTGAGAAGCAACAGAGACATGTATCACAGAGGCAAGCAGTTGCTGAAAAGAGAATGCAAGAACTCATGCGCCAGTTTGCTGGAATATTTAACCAGGCAAATTCCAGCACTTTGCAAATGTCTATTTGAACTATTATGTGGTCGTTTGAAACTACATGCTTTGGAATAAACCATGAATCATGCATGCTTTCCACAATTGGCTTTGTTGGAGGTCTGAATTTGGTACCTCAGATAGATTTGTTCTAATTTTATCTTTTGCCTCTTGTGCTTTACCCTTCTGATATTTATTTTCTCTTATGACGCATAAAAGGTTATTTACTTTTTCCTCTTCAATTAAAAATTGTGTATTAGAATATAAGTGATTGTTTTTGTTTGTTAATATTGCTGGCACACTCTCCAGCAGACTAAGCTTTTCTAGCAAGTGGCTGTTTAACAATAGCCAAATTTGTATCATGGCTCTTCAATCTTGTATGAGGCAGTTGCTTCATCATATTAGCATGGAGCCCAATTTCATTGACATGCTCTGGACCCTTGACCCTTCTTGTGTTTGCTATGAAGTTGAACAGCCGTGCGGGCTTCTATAAAAAATATCTGACAATTCAGTTTGGTAGCATATGCAGAAGATACCAACTTAATGAGAACCTGATCTGCCTTGAAAGTACCAGTTAATTTTCCATTTCTGTGTTAATTATGCATTGATGTTATGTTTTTGCAACATCATAATTCATGTCCTATATATCCTATAAAGCTTGATGTTTATTTAATGTTTCTCCACATATAAGATTCATGATACACATAAATAATCTGCAGTAATTGAGATTTGCTTATATCTAGATGCTTGTTCCTAATTTAAAATATATTCTGTTGGCTTTCTTCATAGATAAACAGCTCCCGATAACAGTATTCTAAATTACAGAGCACTAGCGGGAAACTGCTGAATTTAGAAAGCTCTTAGTTAAAGGAAATATCTCAATCTTTGTGAAATTTCAGAATTTCTAGTCTAAAAATTGTGACAATTTAATGAACAGGATTTAATTATCATAATCCTTTTGTAGAGGGGGTTAGTGGGCTATTATTCTATCGTTGTGTAGATCCACAGGATCTGCATGCCATTAAATTTGAAATATTTGATTATGTGCAGGGTTTTAAAGAAGTTTCAGTAGGGTCTGTCTCGGTAATTTGATTATGGAAGCAATTTAGACTTTAGTTTTAAAGTGTGGCACTAGGATTTCATTTGGGTTCAGTAGAACTCTGACAACCTTTTTTTATGTTTAGTCCATGGGGTTGAGGATGCTTTTTCTCTTGGCTGTTTAGTGAATTCATCTTTCCTCTCCCAATCATTTGAGCCTCCATCCCTCTTTCTTTTCTTTACCGTTTTTGTTCCTTCATTCAAAATATTGACCCTTCTAAACGTATTCTCTTTTCTTAACAAATTTTTTTAATTGTAGTTGTAAGGTTATTTTGTTGTTCAACTAGATTAATTTTCATGATCTCTCTCCAATTATACTTGTTTGATTTTAGTGACCATTCTTTCTCTGACATCATTTGGAAGATTGTATTTATGAGGGCTCTGGTTAAATATGGTCTATTTGCAATATCAATTCCGTATTCAAGGAATCTCATCATTGCTTTTAAAATTTCATCAGTGTTGATAAATTTTTAATCCCATAACGTGTTGAAGGATATAGTTTATTTGCTTGTCTTTGGGCCAGATCACTCAGCACAAGTGGGCATGGCCTTTCATGCAACCAGTGGATGTTGAACGTTTTGGTTTGGATGACTATTATAAGGTGAGGCTTAGTTTTACTTTTGGAAGATTCCAGGTGCTATTTTCTCTCTAGCATCTTTAATCCGTACATTTTTTTTCCGCTTCTTATTTTCCTCATTTTATTTTCCTTTATGCTTGATTTGCTTTTTGTGATAAAACATTTAAGGAGCTCTACAGCTCTAGCTTGTGTATGAATAAACAGGAGAACCCCATTAGTTTAGAACTTTTTAACCCATATAACCAAGAGTTCTCACCAAATAAATCCAGTTTTATTATTTGAATAACCAAGATTTCACATGTGAATCATGCTAAGCCTTAATGTAAAGTAGAAGAGTAACAAGGAAAGATGACTCTTGTTCTCGCTTTCCTGCGGTTTGGGCCTACTGTGTCTCCACGCAGAAAACACAACTTGGTTTGGAATTCAGGATACACAAAAACACGAACTTTCATGACCACCATCAGCCCCCCTTCCCTCTCCAAGAAATATATATATATATATATAGTGAACACTTTTCGTCTTTAGATGTTATTTATCACTTCAAATACATCTGCTATGTCAGTGCATATCATTACATCAGGATGCTGCATAAAATGATGTGATGGGGCTCCAAATGAAGGTCCATGGAAGTATTTTGTATGCTTGGTAAGGAAGTGTAGAAAAGGAAAGAAAGTGAGGAAGTCTTAGATATCTTTTTGGGCTTTAAATAATTTTTAAAAAATTATATATATTTTGTTTACAAAATGTTTCAGGGTTTTGACTCCTAGCTGTTTTTGTGTTTTAGATTATCAGATTTTTTTGTTTTGTGCTTTTCTTTAATGCATTTTTATTTTAATTATTTATTTCTAATTATACACTTGGGAGTTTGAAATAATAAAATAGTTGCTCCTGATAATTGATATTGCTTTTGACATGCCTAAAGGTAATTGAACGAATTAGAATTGGAGCTCTTAAGCTCTAAGTGTTGGCAAGAAACAATTATATAATTTTAGTTCATAGGTCTATGGCCTCCCCCAGGGTTAAAATTTTAGCTTTAACTTAAAAGTTCTATACATTTTGTTATACCATAGAATTTTTGTTGTAAACCTTTTTTTTCCAATCAATTAACTTGCTCGAGTCTCTTCCCTCATTGTTAATCTTTTGTTTTCTTTTGGTACATGACTTCAATTATCATGTTGTACCAGGTTATTGAAAAGCCAATGGATCTAGGTACGATAAAAAATAAAATGGAGGCTAAGGATGGCACTGGGTACAAGAATGTCCGTGAAATATATGCTGATGTTAGATTGGTTTTTAAGAATGCAATGAAGTACAATGATGAAAGAGATGATGTTCATGTAATGGCCAGAACTTTGTTGGAAAAGTTAGAAGAAAAATGGCTGCAACTTTTGCCTAAAGTTGCTGAAGAGGTAAATCATTACCTTTTTTGGTATGGTTTTTTCCTAGGAATTTCTCAATTGTTTTTCCAGGGGTTCACATGATATTGTATTTATTAGTCTCTATTTAACCTGTGCAGATTCTTTGATTGTTGGATAAATTCCATATTTAAATGCCTGCAGGAAAAAAGACAAGCAAAAGATGACTCAGTAACACAGGAGGCTATGAAACTAGCTCAGGAGGCTACACATGCCAGCATGGCTAGGGATTTAAGCAATGAAGTATGCCAAAACTTAAAAGCTCTTTATGAAAAATAAACTATAACCTAAAAGGAGCTTTGTGATATTCTGTCATCTTTTGGAACTATTTTTTTCTTTTCAAAAATACAATTCCCAATAATACAGGGTTATGCTTACTTGTTCAAAAGTTGTGAGCATTTATAATCTATTAACGTTTTGAACCTTATTTTTTAAATTTTTTTCAGCTTTCTGAGGTTGACTTGCAACTAGAAAATCTCAGAGCAATGGTAGTTCAGAAATGCAGGTTCATTCAGAAACCCATTTAACCATTTTAACCATTTTTACTTTCATACATTGTTACTATGAAATTTCATTTTTGAATTGGTTTAGATGTATATGTCACAGGATTTTACCATATATTTATGCCACTAATCTTTTCCCTCTTTTTAGTTAAATTGTATGAATGAAAAAGCATATTTCAAGAAATAAAGTGGGGGAGAAGATTAAGCATAGTTGAGTTATTGGTTTTAAATTAACTGGTATAATTCTTAATGCTAGGTTTTTACAACTTCAGATAGTCTTGATTTGTTGCATTCTAACATTTATAGGAGATAGTTCATGGGGATAGTGGATGTGGTAAACAGAGGACAAATGTTGATAATTTGCATGGGGAAGAAGTTTGAGTGCGTGGAGTCGGAACAGATGAGAGATGGAGGAAGAGGAATAGCATGTTGCATATGTTAATATATGGATATGGTTTCTTTAAATGTTTATTCATGCAAATTGCAATCATGTTTAAAATGCACTTCTCAATTTTCAATTCTTAACATATTTTACATATAATTTGGAACTTTGCATGTTTGTGACGCGCCGTTCTGTTTGGTCTATGATCTGTAGTAGGATGTAATAATTAACAATAGTGAGTTTCACAATCATCCTCTTTAACATATTGCGTCTCTTGGTTCATATGGATCAAACTGCTCTGAAATTTTTTGGTAAATACTTAGTTTGTTAAATTACAGGGTATAGGAGTGGGGAGGCTAAACATTTAAAATTTGTGCTTTGTTTCCCTTGATTTGATTGTACCTGAGTGGGGTGGCTTGCTAGCAGATAGATGTGAACAACTACTTGTCCTCACCGTTATTTGTACAGTGGAAGGCAAACGTATGCATGCCTTTTAAACCAAATCAAATGTTCATAATTCTTCTAATAAAAACCTCAGAAGAATCATATAGACTTAAAGGCCATTCCCTGAACTCTCAGGATTAGTAATTCCCCAGGTTTGGAAAATTCAGAATTGATGCTAGATAAGAAGCAAAAGTTTAAGAAAAGTCCTAGCTATCAGACGCAAGATTCACATGATTATGGTAGACAATCATTTTCAAAAAAATATTAAATTTTCATAATTGAGGATTACATCAAAATCATTCCTAAACTGACTTTCCCTGGGCTAGATGTGTAAATTTCTTAATTTTGTCTTTTCTTTATATGAACCTGAGTGCATCTTTGTTGTTTTTGTGTCAAAATATGCTTTCTGTTTTTGATGCTGTGCGTGCTTATCTCTAGCCAGTTGACATTCCAACTGCGTTTCACTGTTCCTTTTTTGCATCTTAGCCATCAATTCTCACTTTGGCAAATGTTACAGAAAAATGTCTGTTGAAGATAAAAAGAAGCTGGGGGCGGCTCTCACTCAACTGTCTCCAGAAGATCTGACTAGGGCACTGGAGATTGTTGCTGATGATAATCCAAGCTTTCAAGCGACAGCTCAAGAAGTGAACCTTGACATGGACATTCAGGTGATACTTTTTTCTCTTTTTCATGTCTGTCCGGTCTATACTGTTATTGTATGATCAAATTCAAACAATGCTTGTTTGAAAACTAAGAATAATAGTATTTACTTATATTTTATATTTCTGCCCACAGAGTGAATTGACATTATGGAGGTTAAGAGTTTTTGTGAATGATGCATTGAAAGTCATGGGGAGGAAGTCCGGTGGCATGGATGGCAACAAGGACAACGTCAATGCTAATAACAAGAAGAGCAAGAATACCATTGCCACTGCTGCTGCCACCGCCAACAACAACAACAATAAACGAAGAAGAGATATTTCTGATGCTATTACCGGCACATCCACTAAGAAGACTAGGAGGATCTCCCTCATTTCATGACCGTTCGGTCATGAAAGTACAGTATTTACTAAGTTTTTCTTTGGTTATACTTAATGTGAAGTTATACTTAATGTGAAGTTGACACTAGGTGTTGGTTTCTCAGGACCTCGAAAAGCTACGACTCCTTTCTTATAGCAAGAGCATTTAACTTATGAGTGGAGATATATAAGGCCAATCCTCTAGACCTAGTTTCTCACTATTCTAACTGTACAGCAGTATCACTTTCCGCGATTTTGATACATTTATATATTCTTTTAGTTCATCAGAGCTATTATAGTAGCATATATTCATGACTATATATTGATCATTACTGTTTGATCATCTTTTGCTGGTGTGGGAAAATGTTATAAGATCCAAAAATATTTATTTTCAGCTGTTTTTTTAAATTGAGCATCAGCATGTGGGTTTCAAACCCAAGTGGTATCAGGTCCCTTAGCTATTTTTCTTTATTTCTCGGAATCAAAGTTCAGATGGGACAAGATGTAGTCATATTACCTTTGATAATGTGTATTTTTGACATCATTTCTCTCTCTCCCTCCATTGAAACTCTGCATTAGGCTGAGGCATAGGGTTTTTATCAAGCATTAACATCGTTTTATCACTAAATCCAGAACCACCCTGAACCAAGATTTAAAGAAAGCAATAAAGGATTATCCAATTCTTGAATTTGTATATACACTTCATTTTATGTGCATTTCTATCAATTCTGTTGTTATCATCTGTAACAACACATTTCTACTATTTATGTGCTAATTACACCAACAAGAAGTTGGACTTCTCTCTGTCATTAAACTATCACAAAAAGTACAATCTGGACATTTTCTGCTGTTCTATAACTGAAGTTTGAGTACATGCTTCTCCAAAAAATGTTAATGTAAGGACCACAAGCAAGAAAATTGCAATATAATAGCAGTAAATACAATGATCTTAATGTAATTGGCATTTGAAACTGATCAATAATATCACAGCATACTGCTGTTGATCCCACTTGTTAAATACTCAAAGAAGTGATTCAGAACCAAATAACTAACAAATCTGAAACCCATAATTGAGATCAACTCCAATGTCATGGACAATTAGGAAAGTTCTACAAGTTATAGAAGAACTTGTAAGGTCTTCAAAATTTCAAGATCCATGTGCTTTGAAAAAGCTTTGGGACACCCCCGACGTTAGTTTGCCTTTGGCGATCAAGTGATGGAAATGATCCCATGAAATGTATGGTTACAACATCGGAGCAGATCAGTTTGCCAACTCAAAACAAATAAATAAGCAACAGTCTGAGAAAAAGTGGAAATATCAGCAGTGAAGACATGCAAGTAAATGATTAATAGAGTGGCTCAGATATAAAAGGGATTCTCTCAGTAGTTCACTTAACCACTTTCCATAGTCATTTTTAAAGGTGAGATAAGATCAGTAAAAACATATCAGTCCTAATACGAGAAAGAATGAGGATATAGATATAGGAGAAAGGGGTGAGACACATTTGCAGAGGGAGGAGTAAGCGGAAACTAGTTTCAAGAAAAATCTGAGCTTTTGCTGGAGTAAAATACCTTGGCAGCAAAAAAAGAAGCATTCAGCAGCAGAAGAAGAAAAAATAAAACTAGGGGAATATGAACATATAGAAACTACCAGAAAATAATATAAAAACAGAGTCAGATGCAAAAACTTTACTTTCTTATTCCTTAGCTGTTGCTACTAACGTTTCTCCAGGATGACAATTGAGGAAATTGTGAAACCAAGGAGTCCATGACCCTTTCAGTAAATGTTTTGCTTGTTGTCAAGGTTTTCTTTGTGTCCAATTGACTGTCCGAATCTCGCCAGAACTTGATGATTTGAAGACTCTCTTCTTCTGTTGATCTTTGGACCACTATTCTAGAAGCATAACCCTTCATTCTCATTTGACGACATATCTGTGAAGGATCATTTTCTGTGAGAGTGACCATGTATAACCAGCCTCTATCAGACAAAAGCTTGTCCGCAATTGGCAATATCCTATCAATAACTTTACGACCATTCTCCCCTCCAGCCCAAGCAGAGGCAATTCCTTCACAGCCCACTTCGTCTTCAGGTGTCGGCACATAAGGTGGGTTCACAACCATCACATCTACCATCCCTTCCAGACGCTTTTCTAGACCAGATGCAATGTCAGTCACTATCAACTCTGCATGAACATTGTGAGCTTCTAATGTTTCATAAGTCACTCTGACCGCATGAGGATTGAGGTCAGTGGCAATGTAGTAAACCCCAGGAATCTGATGCCCAAGCATGAGAGCTAGAGACGTAATAACATAACCACTGCCGCAACCCACTTCCATACATATTCTTGGATTATGCTCTAACAATTTTGTGCGATCAGCGAGAAGTGCGTCAACCAGTGCAAATGAATCATCACATGGCTCATAAACCTCAGGATGTGAACTTACAAGGCGAATTTGTGCTACTCTAAAGGACATTTTTATGTGCCTGATAGGAATCAACCTCAGCAAAAAGCAATAAAAGAAAGAAAAATAATAATGAGAAATGTATCCCAATTTTGAAACTTCTTTTCTCTTTTTTGTGGGTTCGCAAAAATCCACAATCATGATATATACATGGTAACATGGATATATACTTCTGCACTATAATGTTGAAATGAATCTGACCAGCTTCACCATTCATATTAGGAATTAGATCATGAAAACCATATGACATGTTCAATCTTCAATATGTGTTTTTATGCTAGTGCTTCTTGTTCTTTGAATGGCTTATAAATATTCTTAGATTCCAAATCTGTGAGGTGTTCAGCTAGTTATTGTATTGTATTACATACAAGTAGGTTCCAAGTTCATTTTTGTTTTTGCAGACTTTAACTTTACACTCAAATCAATTGTATTTGGTTATCAGTTTGTTTCTACTGAAACTGAAGCTGCCTTACTGTCTCTGGCAATTTTGTTCCTTAGAATTAATACTTTTGTGCTCTACATGGTTCTAGACTAAATAATAATATTAAGATTGCATATGTTGATGAAGTGGTCAGCAGGTGGCTTTACCAAAATGATTAAATATTTGTTAGAAGTTATTTTTAAAGTTGAATTTGGTTAATTCTAATTATAAAAATTTTAGAATTATTGAACAGCAATTCTTTTTTTCCTTTTACATGCTATTATTTTGAAAAAATAACTTCAAATTAGCTCTTAAAACATAAAAACTTTAAACCTTGAATTGTAAATGAAATCTTATACACACACAGAAGCGCGCGCACACGCACACAAGCACGCGCGCACACAGATATGGGTACCTCTCTATTTGCGTGCATATCAAAAATTGAAAGTAAATGGAGATTGCTAGTCTTTCACAAGCTCTAATTTTCCACAGCAGCTATTCAAAGCCTTAAGCATAAACATATAATAAAAACACGATGCAGAAAGAAAAATTGGGGGCATTACCAGATTGATGCAACCTCTGGCAACAATTGCTCTCCACCAAAGCCTTAGCTTTTCTAATGCCCACAAATCCTTCCTCTCTCAAGTCTCTATTATCCTCTGCATCAAAAATATTTAATTAGTTTTTGAACTAACAGGTGCATGTCATTAAAACCCAGATTTTCAAAAAATGACACACTAAAACACACTAAACACAGATTTTCGGACAATGGCTAAAGATAAAAAAGAAAAGCGACTCTCCAACAATGGCTTCAACTACAGATTTTCAAGGCAAACACACTAAACAAAAAGGAAAAGCAAAAAAAAAAAAAAAAAAAAAAAAAAAAACTAATGCCCACAAATCCTCCTCTCCCAAGGTCCTCTATATCCTCTGCATCAAAGAATATTTAATTAAGTTTTTGAAACTAACAGTTGCATGTCATTAAAATACCCAGATTTCAAAAAAATGACACACTAAACACACTAACACAGATTTCGGACAATGGCTAAATGAATAAAAAGAGAATAAGCACCTCCAACAATTGGCTTCAACTACAGATTTTCGAGCAAACACACTAACCAAAAAAAAAAAAAAAAAAAAAAAAAAAAAAAAACGAAAGAAAGCTTACCAACAATTGCCGTCTAATTCAGATGCTTAAAGTAAAAGATTACAGGAATTAAGATGCAAAGAGAATGATAGAAGGAGAACGAGAAAGACAGTGAGAGCAAGGGAACAAGAGAGAGAGCGAGAGCGAGGGAACGAGAAAGAGAGCGAGAATGTGTAGTAGTAGGGTTGGCAGCGGGGCGGGTACCCGCAAAAAACAAACTACCCAAATCCGAATCCGAATCCGTTAAGGAATAAACCAATAATACCCAAACCCGTCCCAAATCCATTTCGAAATACCAGCATACTACCCGAATTCGTTTAATTACAAATTTATTCAATCCATGAAATTCGAACCAGCATGAAACCCTAATCCGAACCCAAAGTGCAACAAAAAAAATACATATAAAATACATTAAAATTCAACTTCAAAGCAATAAAACAACTTAACCTGTAATATTCAAAATAATAAAACAAATTAACCTATAATACTCTCAATCAATAGTACATAGTAATACTAAAATAGAACAAAATAATTGAAATTCAAACCAATATCTCAATTCTCAAATAAACAATTTGACAATCAAACATCTATTAAAATTCAATAAGAATAATATCAACCACAAACTAAAAACTAATTAAAATATCTAAACGTAATTAAAATATAATAATACTAACTATAAGAATTATAATGAGAACATAAATCCATATAAAGACATAATAAAAAGTATGTAATAAAAAAATTACTGATTAAAAACGTACAGCAAAACAAACCAATACTTAATAACAAAAACACAAGGAAGAATTGTACATGAAACATAATATTCTTAATACAAACATAATTCTTTGAACTCCACTTTTTTCAAGACCAAGAAATTGCAAGGAATTAACAATAAAACATCAACAACATAAACATAATATTCTTAATACAAACATAATTCTTGAACTCCACTTTTTCAAGAACCAAGATTGCAAGGATTAACAATCAACATCATCTTCTTCCGCACAAAAGACATTCGACTCCGCTCAAATTAGAATATAAAACTACCTACAACAAATTAAACAAGCCACAATCAAGTTTAGAAATAATAAACAAGTTTGCAAATTAAACTAGCAAATTCAAAGTCTAGCAATATGACTAAAACACTAACATGTTTAAGATACCCAGGTCAGCCCTATATGATGCTCAAAAAGAAAAGTTCAGCCCTATATAAAATCACAAAATACTAAAAAAAATCAGCCCTATACAAAATAGAAAACATTAAACCCTGTGTTTAATCCCCTATGTAATTTGTGTTATTGCTTTTACAGCTTATTTCTAGATATATTTGTATAAATATATCATGGTAAAAAATTAAAAATAAGAACAAATTAAACCTGTTAACATCTGAATTTTTTCACATTTTGTACAAAAGCAGATTCCTTTTTAATCATTCTCAGTATCTCTAGACAATCTTAATCATTATTAACAAACCAAACTTTGAATTAACAAACCAAACATATCAGATTTCACTTAATATATATCCAAACATGATCAATGATTTAATCATTCTCAGTATCTCTAGACAATCTTAATCATTATTAACAAACCAAACTTTGAATTAACAAACCAAACATATCAGATTTCACTTAATATATATTTTCAACAAATAAAACATGCACAGAATTCATAAACGAAAAAATAAAACAATATGCAAATAATCTCGGCTGAACCCATAAATTAATTTAACAATTCCTCCTCTTTGTCTGTTTATATGTGTTTATTAAAAAGAAAAAAGAAAAAGGAAAAGGGACGATTCACGAAGCAAAAACGGAAAAAAAAAAAAAAAAGAAAAACAAACTGAGAATGAAATAAAAACAATTCAGTAGTAGAACGAACCTGTGACTGAAGAGCGCTTGGGACGGACTTGAAAGTAAAGTTTCGCCTTTTCCCTTCGCTTGAAGAGCACGAGTGCTGCGGCAGTGATGGCCAAGAACGAAACCAACGGGACGGTAAAAAGAAAGACTGTGGCTGTAGAAGTGCAGAAAACGAGCGGCGCAGGGAAGGGAGGGAGGAGAAATACGTTTGACTTTAGTCGAGTTTGAGAGAATTTCTGTTTGTATGATTAAAATGCAACCTACGCTAAAACGACGCAGTTTTGATTGCGGATTCATTTGAACCTCCAATACCAAAACTACGTCGTTTTTTTAATGGTAAAATTTATTATTATTATCAAAGTTATTATTATTCTTAAAGTTGTTATTACTATTATTATTATTATTATTAGTTATTAATTAAAAGGCTATAAAAAATAAAAATATCATGTAAAGTATTAATTATATTATTTTTTTATTAGAGAATATATTGAGTAGGTTATAATTAATTATGGTTGTTGTGATCCTTAATCTACGTATACTAGACTTCTAAGTATAATTATACTAATATATATGACGATACTAACAAAAAAAAAAATAAAAAGACATTTAACTAAGGTCCAATTATAATTATATTTATATGAGTCATATTGTAATCTACTAAAAATCTATTTAAATTTCATATTCCATATAAGTTATATTTTAAATTAAGATCTCAATATAGTTAGCATTAGAAGTTTAGTGGCGATGTTAATAAGTAGCTTTAAAAATTATTAATTATAATATTATT